CAATAAAAACACTACACCTTTAACAAACCATTACCATTCCATTAGCATACAACGCTACAGGTATGAAGTAAAATTTATTGCAAGAAAATTTATGCTGACCAATTTATCTTTTGATCTTCACAATGGGTATTTTTTTAATTAAATAAACGCAAAAAGCCAGACAAAAAGATCATAGTCAATTCTGTTTATAATGCGGTAGCGTGTTTGCTCAATTCCATCGTTTCGCCAGCGGGCAGTTACATTCTCTTGAGTAATTAGTGCGAATCTTTCAGGATTGCGTTCACGCGCATGATTTGAATCAAATTCGTCAAAAATTCCCTCGTGTGGCGCAGGTCTATCCACCGTCATATTGTTTATTTTTAACCGAATCGACATGTCGTCATCTTCACCACCCCAACCGAAGAAAATGTTTGAAGCGCCATTCATTTTCGCTACGTGGTCCCATGTGAATGCTGTAACGGCTCCCAAAAATGTGGTGTACAGCCTAGAAAAAAATAAGATAAGCTTTGGGACAATCAAAGGGGTGAACGGGTCTTGCTTGTACTATAAAGCAAAAAACTATGGTATGGCTATGACTTTGCTTGATGGTATTGTTTATATTGATTGGTCGGCTCTACAGTTATCGGAAATGTTTTGGATTTTTTTCGGAACTTGAGGTTTAGTTAACATGTTAAGATTTTTATAGGATAACAGACAGTACTTTTTATATATCTTTAACAAATAAATGCACATAAGTCGATTCGCTGTTATTTCATGTCGCGCGTATATGCGTTAATACCGATTTGGGAGCGATTATCAAACCTTCACAAATTTCGGTATTCTGCATGAGCTAAGGCCAATCTATACATACTACCCATTTGCCTATACGTACATAGATTGAACAACATACTTTGGCGTACACACTAAGAAATATTTTTTTTGAGAGGAACATTAAAGAATGCAAAAAAGCGCATTGTGAATTGTCTTCGTTGTACGCGGGGAACATTTCTTACCTTTGAATTTCGGTTCCATGGCGAAATGCAGTTACCATCTGCCTGACATTTTCTCCACACTTGTAAGAAATCGAAGGCGAACTTGGCACTTTGTCAACATCGTGGAAAATGAAACAATTTATGCCATACAAACGGTCACCGGGCAGACTATGCCGTATCTCTTTGACTGCTACATTGAACAACTTGGCGCGATTGAATGGTTTATTACCAGCTTGTTCCGTGATAAGTATAACATACTGGGCATCCTGTTTACTAAGGAAGGGCAGCATACGAGTAAGAAAAGCGAATAAGTGTTTGCCCCGATCCTTATAGGGCACAATGATGGCCACCTTCTCTTTCGTAACTTCCCTTAGAACTCTGTTATTTATGTCACGCAATTCGAAATTCTCCATTGATCGATTGAGCAACACAGACCCGTTGACGTCGTCTGAAGTTACATTTGTAATTTCCTGTGGTTTTTGAAGGTGTGAGGACGTATTGCCCAAAAACGGCAGAATTGGCAGATGCAAAGAGGGTAGAAATGCACCCGAACTGAAATAATACAATAGTTGAAGGCCGAGGAACATGACTATTAGGCCCGTGCTGAGGAGTAAGCATGCGTTTCGGCTTTCGAGGATCTTCATGTTCTTTACCGGGACCCGAAGGCGATGTGGGCAAAGAACGCTTTCTGCCGATAAGTAAGTACGAGTACATTGTTGGTGCGGCCTTTTATTGTTGGATTAGGCAATCAAATGACGTAAAGCTATGCAACCTTGAAACTGCGATGCTACTGCCTGATTGGAAGAGAACAACGAATTACTTAAGGCGACACACCACTCACACATCGTAGGCGTTAACAAGTGAATCGCGTTTTGTTCGGGATACTAGAATGGCGCTTCGCATTGCTCCTTTTATGTCTCCATGTGTAAGTATGCAAATGTTCTGATTAATTCAGCGACAGCTAAAATAGTGTTGACTGTTCTTGAACCTAAATTTATTCCCTTCATATAGCAGACAACAAAGAGGGGATTTTATTTTAGTTTACAAGATAATACACCGTCTTGAGAAATAATTGCGCTTTGAGGATATGTTTCAGTCGCACCTCTCGCCTCATCTCATTGGGCACACAATGAAGCTGTACTCGAAGATTTCTAAGGCTAATCTCTGCTGTGAATTCTTCACGCAACGGGCCGCAAAACAGTGGAATAACCTCCCGCAGCCACTTTCGGAAGCCATTTCCCTACAGCTGTACCTCGAAGTCTGATCTATAATTAAGAGACCTACTTGTAAAAACAATGCCACTACCTGTCTGCCAACATTTGTAAGTAGTAGTATTTATTGTCATGTGTGCGTATATATAACGCACCGGCATGCAATCGATGGGGCTTTCGAATGCATTGGGTAACGCTACTAAGCTGTTATTTCCTATACCCACGAAAATAATGACCATAAATAAGCACAGATACAAGTACCCAACATATGCCGTCATTTTTTTCCGCCAAGCCATCTGCACGATGTGAACGAACATTTTTGCTTATAAAGCAGAATTACTGAACATAAATCTTGTAGTGGAAAGGGCAGATGATTATGGTCCTTGATATTCTGCCACTCTGCTCTTCTTGTGCTATCTTAGGACTGAACCGAGAAATAAACTAACATAAGGAAAACTGCTGGGGTTAACATATAAAAGTAAACTCTTCCATGTGTAGCATAAAAATGTGTCCATAATTTTAAGTACAGTCAAAAATGGCCAAATTATATAATAAATGGAATTTTTGAAGAGGCAACTTTTCATAGAACATTTTAAAATTAATTTTAGGCATATTCATTCACGACAATTGTCGGTGATGCTAGGATCAATGGAACATCGGCTGATAACACTGAAAATCATTAAAAAATCACAAATTTCCCTAGAACCATGTGAGCCTTTTCGTAATTAAACACGCATAAAGAATTAAAAGTAGCACATTAATATGTACAACTGACAATTCCATGTATATGTCTAATAAACTCACTGGAATGCCCACATATGGCGGCAAATAGAGCAGAATTGGACCAACAGTAAAGTTTGTTGATACTTCAAGAATCTCCCACGCTATTAAATGTGTTATGCATTGTGACCTAAAGCTAAGTACTATCATTATTGGACCGCATATTTTCTCTAGAAATTCCAAAACTGACCTTTCTTACATCCTTCAATAAAGAAAAGAGAGTCAGTGCATTTAAAAACATAAAGAGGTACGAGCAGTATATTAGCAGTTGTACTTTAATTGAGGCGGCTATTATGTCACTTTTTGTGCTTTTGCGATCACAGAGAGGGACCCAGAATTGACTATATATACTGAAATAATGCTTCCGTAAACAGTATAGCGCCTTATTAAAACCGTTGCAGCTTGCAGAGTGCTCACCCCACGCACGCTCAATTGATATTGCGTTAAAAGAAAAATACGTTTTAAATGGAAATCATAATTGGATTTACAAATTAGGTTTTTATTGACCGAGCACCAAGTTGTTTTTTTTAAAGAATGTCGACTTGAAAAAAGTTATTATACAACTGACACCGATGAAGGAA